GGTTTAGAGCGAGGTGTCCCTGCCCATGGCAGGGGGGTTGGAACTTGATGATCTTAAGGTCCTTTCCAACCCTAACTATTCTATGATTCTATTCTATGATTCTTTTTCAGGACCCATGCTGACCCTTTGCTTCCTTCCCCATGGTGGACTGGAATAGGGTGGTTTGCATCCTTACTACAGACTTCTGAAGAACAGCACTATCATTGCCATAATGCTTCTGTGATTTGACTTCCAATTACACTAAATCCCATTAAAGTGTTCCCGTTCTTGTATGCACACTGGTCCAGCATGCAAAATACTTGGCTCCAACAACTTGAACGGGGTACAGAAAAAGTAAGGGCACTTGGGTTCCCTCATTTTCTCCAGTTGTTTGTAAGGTGATGTCTTGTATCAGAATTCAGCTTTAACAGGAACTTAAACAAGGAAGTATGAAGCTTTAATCACTAATTATTGTTCTACATTATCTTTTGGTTTATTTTCATACAGAAAATTTAGGAATCCAGCTGTCTCAAAATATGGCGAGTCAGCAAAATATTTTCATTGCTCATTTTATGCTGGTTGGAAGATTTCTAGCTATTCAGAAAACGCTGAGAAGTACAAGACTTAATAATGGGTCTTAACAGAAAGCATTAAAGATGTGGTACCAAAACAGACAAGAGAAAGGCAGCTTCGGATCTCATCTAAAATCCACTGATCAGACATCAACTTCCATTGACTTCAGTGGACTTTAAATCAAGACCATATTTTTTGCTGAAACAACCAAATTTCTATTCCTTTTAGCATGTTTAAATGTTTATGAGGTAGATAAACCTCTGTTTGTGGCTGGAGGAGTTGATCATCTCCTGAAAACAGCAACAGCTACTAGATCTGGATCAGCCAAATATTCTCTGAAATCAAAAGGACTGCTAATCCAGTAGATCCCTTGTAGAAACAGTAGCATCACCATTTCCCATACAGTAGAGCAGGGGATCAGTATTATATCACTTACCTCTATCACCTTGATGTTTCATGTCAGTCGTCCAAAACATTGGGAATAAGCAAAACAGGCTAGTAAAAATGATACAGAGAGAGCCATAGCTGCCATGGGGAAGGGCTCTGTACAAGAGTGTAGTGGGGGCTCCTCTTGCACAATGCAATGCATGTTGCATCACTGCAAGTGGGGGATTCTTTTGGCCCCATCTCTCCCACCAGCAGCCTACTTCTAAGCAGTATGTTCATATACATCTGGTCCTGTCCAGAGGATGCCTGATAGGGCCCCTCATAATGAACAACCTACAAATAAGCATCTCTAGAGCTAAAGAACGTAGGTAATGGTTGTTGCTGCCCTGCAGTGGTGCTGCTCAGCAGAGAGTGCTCCAATCAGGCCTCTCATCTTCCCACCAAGGTGCGATGCTCCATTTGGGCATCTCCTCCACTCCTCGCACAGAACCAAGTGGGTTGTGTTCAGTCTGCGGAGAAGCAGTGAGTGCACGGTCAACATGGCACATGTGACACCACTTAAAATAGTCAGGCATGTCTGCAGGTCTGCATTGGCCCCAAGAGCCTCCTGTTAAACTGTAACAAGAGTTCTGCATACCTACACAGATGCCAATAGGGAAAATGATGATCTTTGAACGCGCCTCTAGTTAAAAAGTAAATCTGATCTTTTGAATTTTTCAGATTTTTATGACAAAAGTCTAAGCCGGATGGCTCTGGCTGGCTGGTAGGTGAGGCATTTCCTCCATGGTTTGCTTCTAAAATTAGCTTTACGCAATGACTTGAAAATGTTCATCCTAGCTCATCCTACCCCTTGGCAGGAGAATCAGGGAAAGGGATTTGCAGAGGATCTTGTCTTGTTACCCAATTTCACTCTGGCAGAAAAGGCTGAAGAGCCCTCTCCCCAGGGCCAGCATCACGTCCTTGGGGACCTCTGCCAAAGGAGCAGCTTCTGCTTCTTCCTCCAGGTTACCTCCTCAGCGTCTCTGAAGAGGCAGAGGCTATCCCCCAGGCTTGTCACCCCTGTTTATTTTCCTCTAGCTTACTGGGACAAGTATATTGAGGGAACATCATCACTCTTTAAAGACGCCTAAATGTAATTGAGAAAGGCAAACAGCAAAGCCAGGTGATCTTCACATTTCTGAGCCTTTCCATCTACCTCGCTACCTACAACCACATTGCAGGAATGACAGCTGGAAATACCTCTTGCTCTTCCTTAACCAGCAGTACAATATGAACCCAGAAGATTATGATCATGAAGAAAGTTTAGGGAGAGGTAGAGCTCCTCTTCATAACCATGCGATTACCTCCTCTGGCCCATCAAGAGGCACCCCTGACAAAGAAAATAAAAATGCTGAATCATCTCTGTGTGCTTTCTACCTTCTGCTGAATTCCCACCAGCTCTGGAAAGCAGCTGCCCAGAGATGTGGACTGTGTGGGCTACAACAAGTAAAGCAAATTCATCTAGGAAGAGCAAATAGGTTTCACTAGGTTTCAGTGCTGCTAGGCAGGAAAGAAAGTGCAACTCAGTTGTGTGTCTTATGAGAACTAAGGCATGTGAGCTAGAGCATCTCAAAGAGGCAGACTTATGCTACTGAAGTGGGGGCAGTTCATCAGTTCTCTCAATTTTTTGGATGCTGAAGCTGATTTTTGGATGTTCTACCTCGTGTATTTGGAAATTGTCCTTCATTCTCTACTGTTTTCTACATTTCATCAATATCAGACCTCTTACCCCACCACTCTAAGCATGTCCATACCAAATGCTCTTTCTCCACCACTAAACCATGTTACGAAAGGCCTCATCTACACACTTTCTGAACACTTCCAGGGACGGTGATTCCACCACCACCCTGGGCACCCTGTTCCAGTCCTTAACAACCTTTCTGGTGAAAAGATTTTTCCTAGTATCCAGTATAAACCTCCCCTGGCACAGCTTGAGGCTGTTACTTCTTGTCCTATCACTTGTTACCCGGGAGAAGAGACCAACGCCCAACCTCCTTGCTCCAACCTTTCAGGTATTTGTAGAGAGCAATAAGGTCCCCTCTGAGCCTTCTCTTCTCCAAACTAAACAAACCTAGTTCCCTCAGCTATTCCCCATCAGACTTGTTCTCCAGACCCTTCACCAGCTCCATTGCCTTTCTCTGGATCCACTACAGCACCTTAATATCTCTCTTGCAATGAGGGGCCCAGAACTGAACACAGTTTTCAAGACGCAATCTCAGCAGTGCCAAGTACCAGGGATCTGACCTCTTGCTCAGGTCTGCCAGACTTAGCACCTCATGGCACACCTACACCTGGCAATTTTGGTGTAGGAGTGCTGAGTTACAACGGAGATGAACTCCTTACCTGTGGCTTGCACTTGTTCTTTTGCAGGCCTGCATGGTGTGACTGCTGCTACCCAGCTGTAACAGCACAACCCCGTATGTGATTCCTCAGCAACACGTCATCCTTTTGTGAGACGTGAGGCAGAAACCCTCAAGAACATCCTTTTCCTCCATGGCTGCTGCTATGAGGAAGCTCAAAAGAGTCAGTGCAGCTCGCGCTGTGATGGCCAGGATGTAGGACAAGCCCTTGAGTAGCTCACAAGTGATCACAGGGTTTCAACAGATGCCCAGAGGCTGGAAGCCCCTGTCTCGACACGCTCACCTGGAGGGCAGAACAAAACAACAGTGGCAACAAAGCAAAATTCTTCTCTGTGGTATGTAACACTAAGAAGGTACGTAGACATTAGGAAGAAATTCTTTACTGTGAGGGTGTCTAGATATTGGAACAAGTTGCCCAGAGAAGCTGTGGCTTGCCCATCCCTGGCAGTGTTCAAGGCCAGGTTGGATGGGGCTTGGAACAACCTTGTTCAGTGAATGGTGCCCCTGCCAGGGGGCTGGAACTAGATGATATTTAATGTTCCTTCCAACCCAAACCATTCTGTGATGCTATGTCTGTCAGCAATGAAAAATTAGAAAGATGTCAGGGATCAGCTTTTACAGTACAGATACAGAGATAATACTGGCCCTTGAGTCAGGTGTTTGACTGTTGTTGGTAGATAAGGGACTAAACACCTCTCAGGGAACATTCCGGTGACAATATACCCTGAGCGGCATTTTTGGAAGGCACTGCAGAAGGTGGTGCAGTGGTCGTAAGGTACCATCACACTGGTTTTTAAAACAGTCATTTTTAAGTTATCGAAGTTCAAAGTGCAGGGAAACGAGTAGGAAATGTTTTGTAACACTTGCAGCACACTCACCTCTCAGGTTAGATTCAGGTGAGTAAAACAAGTGATTGCTCAGAAGCACTTCACCCCTTCCCTCCTATGTCCCTCTGCTCAGAGCTCACAAAGTAATGGTTTAGTGGTGGAAAAATGATGTCACCTTGCCTTTTCTTATTTCCAGAGCCAAATAAATGTGCTGAGGTACGGTGACCAGTGCTATTGACCCGATCAGACTGTATGGGACTTTCCAGCTGTGGGCTGTGTCACAGGTTGCTAAGTCCAAGTCCAAGTCCCAAGGAAGAGGAAATCCTCTTATGTCTATGTGGCTTCATACCTCAGTCCTCCACTGACCAGAAAAGACCAAATAAACCGAGAAACCTCTTCAAGGTTTTGAGCCACCCGTGACTGCGCAGCGGCTGGTCAGATCGCCTTTGCACGCAGCCAAGCAGGGCCAGAGGAAGGCAGCGTTCTCCGCCGCAACAGACAGGGCGCCGGAGCTCGGGAACCGGCGCTTTCGCGGGGGGGGGGGGGGTGCGGGGCAGCGGGTCCCTCGGTCGGGCTGCGATGGAGTGTGAGGTGGGGGGGTGCGGTCCGCTGCAGTACCGCTCCTCGCCGCGCACCGGCAACAGCCCCCCGCGACGGGGCCGCCCCGGCGGGGAAGGCGGGCAGGCAGCACAACGCAGCGGCGGGGCGGGGCGGGGCGCGGGGTGGGGCGGCGGCGGGGCGCTGCGCTGCGCTGCGGGCGGCGGGCGGCGGCGGGGCGGTGCGTGGTCCGCGGCGGGCGGCGGGGCGGCGCGCGCCCTCCCGCCGGTGCCGCGCGGGGCGCTAATGCCGCGCGGGGCCGGTCTCGCCGCGGGGCGGCGGGGCGCGCAGGGCGAGCGGCCATGGGGCGTGGGGTGCAGCGGGAGATGCTGCCGCCGATGCTGCCGCTGCTGGTGCTGCTGCTACTGGGCGCCGCCGCCGGTGCTGCAGGTGGGTCGCGACCGTCCGGCGCTCGGCTGTCTCCGTCTTCCGCGGGAGTGCGGGGTAGGCGCGGGGCCGCATGTACGTGAGTCCACTGGCGTCTGTGCATACGCGTGTATATACGCGTATATGCGTATGTACGCGCACACGTATGTGTGTGTACGTAGGCGTGCACATGCATAGAGTAGTATCGCATCGGCGTGTGCGCACCGCGTGTTTGTCTGGGTACGCGTTATCTGCATGCACGCACGTATGCGTGTATGTCCGCACATGCTGTGTGCGCAGGTACGCAGTGTGCGTCCGTGGAGCACTGTCAGGCGCCGGGGCTGCGCACCCCGCTCCGCCGCACACAAAGCGGGGTTCGGGGCCGCCCCTGCGCGTGGAGGCTCCGACGGGGCGGTGGAGTCGGGAGAACCGGGTCAGGGAGGGCTCCACCAGGGACTGAGGTCGGAGACCCGGGGGTGCCGCAAAGAGGCTCCCGGCCGCGGGGCGCTGTGAGGGGACTCGGAGGAAGGGCGCTGCGGGCTCCGGGGGGCGGCAGGACGGGTTTTCAAAGCCTCTTCCCGCAGCATAACCACCCGCAGCGGGGTCCCGCCGCTCCGCAGCGGAGGCGGTCGGGCATAAACAGTTTGCATAACGCTTGCGCGGCTGATCGCAAGCCGAGTGCCAGTTTTATTCTTTAAAAAGAAGAAAAAAGCCAGATGGGAAACAAACATTTGATCGGGCAAAAGATATAAATGAAACATCACAAGACAAGTGTTGCTAAAATGCTCAAGCAGGAAGCATATGATTTTCCATGGATGTTTTACAGGTGAGTCATGGTATTCACTGCATGCTCTTACTCATTTACTGAAGATCCCAGTCCAGTGGCATGTACAGTAGTATGTAGAATGGGAGTATTTAGTTGGTCATATTGATTAAGTGCCCTTTTCCAGGGCTGTGGCAGAGCAGTCGTCAGCTTGTGGCGGACAGCGTAGAAATCTTTATGCTCTCATTTGTCCTTTTACTGAATCCCTCTGGCAGCCAGCATTACACTACAAAGCTGTCACTTTTCATAACATGCGGTGCTCTGCATCTGTCATGCAACTCATTCCAATTCAAGTGAAAACAAACACCCTTTCAAAGGGGGTTTCCTCTCCCCCCTTTCCGCCCCTGGGACCCGCGTCTGTGTGCCAGCAGCACAGCTCAAATCCTGCTGAAACCAAGGTCCCTGGCCCTAAATCTGGCACCAGGTGAGGAAGGGACCCTCCATGCCTGGCCCGAAGACAACTGCAGTCAGTGACCCTGTGTGACCAGGGAGCATACCCGGAGCTGGGAGCAATTGAATCCTCTCAGCTCCCAGAGTCTTAAGTGAGAATTTGCTATCCAGGCTCAAGCAGAGCCTTGCCCTTACCCCAGGGACAGCTATGTGGACCCCTGCCACCACCACAGGCACCAGGAAACCTCCTGCTGACCAGGTCCTCCTCCACTGCCTCCCCAGGGGCTGTAATCGGTGGTGTGCACAAAAGGGCTTGGTGAACACTGTTCTGACTGAGCCCTGCTCTTTTTACCTCTTCCCAAATCTGCTCTGCAGTCCCGCAACGAAGGGAACCACAGTGAATGTTCATCTATTTGTTTGGCGGCTAACTGCGCCGTGTTACACGTAGCCAAAGAATCCAGGAAAGCAGCCAAAGACATAAATCAGGCCAACTTGTGGCAAGCCTAACTCATAATATGATAATAGCCCTTACTTACCTACCCCTCAGGAGAGCTGCGTAGGTTAGTTAATGTTTATACAGTGCTTTGAAAAGATGTTCAAAAGATGTAAGTGATACGACATTAACTTTACAGTTATAGCTGTTTACTTTTCCTGAGTAAATGTATTCTGCGCAGTTAACACAGATAATCTGACACAATCCACCGGGTCCCTGTAGGAAACGAACTTGACTGAGCATTTCTTGTTCGCTAAGAGTTTCCCAAGTCTGCTTACGAGGTGAAATCCAGAGGCTGGCTCAGGAGTGCTCTGTAGTGGGTGCATATAACAAGCAGTGGTCCACATCTGTTCTGAATAATCAGTATAGAAAACTTGTGTAGTCCTTTGCTGGTTGAAACCTTTCCTTGCCAGGGTGTTTCTTAAGGAGCAGAAGGAGTGGGGAATGCTGTCAGGCTCTGAAGGCTCAGCCTCTGCTTGTGCATAATATAGCTTAATTGCAACTACGATGCTGTAGACAAAAGCTGAATAAACCCCAAATAAAAGATTTATTGGATGCTAAACTGAAATGACCTTTGGACATAACAAAAATGCCAAAAAGCTGTAATAATTGGTGCACAAAGCTGACTGTATGTGAGTGGCCTGGTGATAAAGAAGACATTATGTACCTCAGATGGTTTGGCCTGCCCATGTCCAGCTCATCAGAGATATATTTTATGGGTTTTTTTATGTTAAACACTTACGGTTCATCAAATACAGCCTGGCCTTACTGTTACATTTATTAATAAAGAGGTGGAAAGCCCCAAATCAAACATTCCTGCACCAGGAGGGTTACATTGCAGATGGTTTCACACCAAACCCCGTGGTGATTTTATTTCCCTTTGACACTTTAACTGTGAATTTTTAAATTGACAAGGCTTCCATAAAAACTTGACGAGAGCCCACAGAGCCTCAGCTGCGAGGCAGCTTGCCAGCAGCACTTCAACCAAGGATTAGGTTTTTCCCCCCTTTGCACACATCAGTGACAGCCTTCCCAAACTTAGGCAGTGCTTCCATTCAACCCTGACCTTGTCAGCAGTTCAGGACTGAGGGGAGATTTGGGGTAGGGATGGACGGGTGAGGAAGGGGGTGAAGACTCGAGGTCATTGATGGCAGGAGATATTCCTACCACCTCTCACACCTCCAATGCCCTGTTGAGCTGGGGCACAGCAATGCTGTCCTCCACAGCAGTCCATCTCGTGCTTTTCTCTCCTTCCTCAGGACCACCTGGATCCCCTTGGAGCCCTTAGGGCAGGAGTGGCATGGCCACATTCACTGCCGCCAAAGCCTCAGCCCTGCTCTGGGTCCCTTTGGGCAGGAGGACAATGTGGAGGTACCTCTCCTGCCTGCTGCTCTTGGTAGGGATTTTCTGGAGCACAGGGAAGCCCCGAGGGGTTTTTGGTTTGCTCTGCTGTTACAGACGCACTCGACCCCGTGGAGGGGAGAGCTGAGCAGCAGTGCCGTGCTCTCCCTCAGCCCTTCTGGGCTCGGTGTGTACCAGCGATACATGGTGGCTTCCAGTGGGGTAGAGTGGGGTGCACCCGCCTCGGGAGCTGGCTTCACCTCCCTGCTCTCACCTTGCAGGTCTGGTCAGCACATCGGGAGCAGGCAGCCCCTGTGAGAAGGCCTGCAACCCCCGGATGGGCAACCTGGCGCACGGGCGGGCGCTGCAGACAGAGACAGCGTGCGGGCGCCATGCCACCGAGCCCTTCTGCGCCGTCACCGAGGACAGCCAGCGCCGCTGCCAGCGCCCCACGTGCGGCCGCTGCAGCTTGGCCCATGCCGGGCTGGCCCACCCCGCCGCCGCCATGGCTGACTCCCCGTTCCGCCTGCCCCGCACGTGGTGGCAGGCGGCCGAGAACGCCTCTCGTGAGACCATCCGGCTGGACCTGGAAACCGCCTTCTACTTCACTCACTTGATTCTGGTCTTCAAGTCGCCCAGGCCGGCCGCCATGGTGCTGGAGCGCTCCCAGGACTTCGGCAAGACGTGGAAGCCTTACAAATACTTTGCTGCTAACTGCTCGGCCACCTTCGGGCTGGAGGATGATGTGAGGCAGAGAGGAGCCATTTGCACTTCCAGATATTCCAGCCCCTTCCCCTGCACCGGAGGAGAGGTAGGTCTGCCTGGGTTGGAAGAAGAAACCCTTTTGCGCCAGCTCCCTTTCCCTGTGCAATATCTGCTCCAGCATATATGCTTCTTGTTTTACTGCACCCACAGTTCTTGTCGTTGAATTTATTTCACGAGGTGAACTAACACCATTCATTCCTAGGTGATGTAGGCACTGCTCTGTCCCTTGGTTTGCTGAGCTCATGATATCCCTCTTTTCTAGAACCTCCTCTCCCCACACCTGATGAACCCCTCCAGCACAACTACAAACAAGGCGGATGCTGCCCATCCCTTGGGAAAGCCAAAGGGAAAGTAACTCTGACAGCCTTCTCCAGATCTCACAGTCATGTGGTTTCAGGGTGATGCAAATCAGGCTGTCTCTGGCAAAAATGCATCTACATTAAAATTGTCCCCAGATTCACTTTTAATAGTGATGTCTTCACTGAGAAGCATGTAACCAGCCAAAATAGCTACTGAATACACTGAAGTATGGTTCCTATGAACTAGATTAGCCAGGTAATTAAGAAACTTATGCCTCATCTTTTTTAATGTCCTCACTTATTCTCACATAAAAAGAGCTTGAAAAAATGAAGAAAAACATCATGTTTGCTAAGAGGAAAGAAACATGACAAACCCAGATTGTTTCTGTATCAGAAACAACAGGTAGTTACTCAGGTATCTGGAGGTGCTACCAATAATACCCTGCCCTTTGGTGCCTAAGCCTGCCCCGTGGTGCTGGGCAGCCTCCCCTGGGAGCAATGGCAATGGGGGTGTCCCCTGGCGTCCCCACTGGTGCGGATGGGTCCCCAGTGACCAGCTCTGCGCTGTCAAGGCTGCTCCCTCTAGTGGCCTTATTTAATGAGCTTGCCTGGAAGTTCAATCAAACTTTAAACCTTTCTCTCACCTAAAAACATTCAGATCCGTATCTCAGAAAAATCACCTGTCCAGACCCCTTTGCAATCATTTGGGGTCACCTCTAGCCGTGTTCTGGCTAAGAAGCCACTCTGCAGAAACACTGGGAGCTCTTTTTTTCACAACACAGCATGTCTTAGCTGCATCTCAGGAGGCAGCTGATGTCCACCTCTAGGAAAAGCTGTTCCATGCTCTCATCGGCCCAAAAACAAGGATCTTCAGACCAAGGCTGTTTATTCCATTAGCCCAGCAAAGGGTTTTAATCCAATGGCTGGTGAGAGAAAGTGCTATCTTCCTCTCTTCTCCTGCCTCGCTTTGCTCATGCTCCACAACAGCTACCTTTCACAGTGAAATATATAAAGGGGCTTATAAGAAAGATGGAGACTTTTCACCAGTTCACTTGTTCTGACAGGACAAGGGGCAACAGTTTTAAACTGAAATTGATTTAGACTGTGTATAAGCAAGACATTTTTTATTATGAGGATGGTAAGACGCTGGAATAGGGTGCCCAGAGAAGCTGTGGATGCCCCACCTCTGGCAGTGTTCAAGGCCAGACTGGATGGGGCTTTGAGCAATCTGGTCTAGTGTGAGGTGTCCCTGCCCATGGCAGGGGGGTTGGAACTGGATGATCTTTGAGGTCCGTTTCACCCCAAACCATTGTGTTGTTCTGAATCTGAGCTAAATACAAAGTGGGACCTACAAAAGAAAGGATGGATGTGCCCCACTGGGAATGTTCCAGGCCCTCCGCACTTCTGCGAGCCCCTGTGTCCCACCATGTGAATCATAAGGCTATGCCAGCTTGAGAGAGAGGACAGAGACTGAACTCTATAACTCTCAGGCCAGACAGCAGGACATTTCTGGGGTACTCTGACTTCCATGCTCCTTTTTCAGCTTTCCCAGTGATTGTTCTTAGGGATGAGAAACCCAAGGCATCATCTGGGACAAGTACTTGTCTTGTTTGTGCTGGGTCCTTGTAGCTCGCAACATGATGCAGTTTCCACTGCGGTCAGCCCAGTGATGTACCTGCACACCAGGATGGGTCTGTGGAACCAAGAACCTCTGGCTGGCTCCTCTACGGGTTGGTGCAATGCATGGGGACAGTGGGATCAAGGTCTTGTGTGTAGAAACCAATGCCTATCAAGAAGAAAAGGAATTTAGTGGTGTTTGTTGCATCTGAAGTAGCACGCTGCAAAAGCAGGCTATTTACTGAGCTTGCTCCTATGGGACCTCTTCTTTTGGCATCACTTTAGTCTGTGTTATTGCAGAGGCTATAAAAGTCAAGCTCATTTAATTATTCCAGGTTTTAAACAAATGTTGAGTCCAAGGGGCCTGAGCTTAGATTTTATTTATATGGCACACTTCAGTTCCCTGCACTTAAACACCACTTTTAACCTGCAAAGTAATAACAGCAGCTCTCTGGTGACCAGATGGCAAGCCTGCATGCTTAGCAAATATCACATTTAATTTATTACAGTGTGCTACATTCCAGCAATTACTTGTAACTGCCAATAGCAACATGTATCTCACCTAAAGAAACACCAGTGTTTTGTGTTCTGTTTGGAGTTATGTTGTCCTTTACTCCTACTTCTGGTAGCACCTAATTTGAGACATATGGAAACAGTAATTTCACTTGAAACAGTGGTTTCAAATATGCAGTCATCTGAAGTGTCCAAGTCTGAAGGGTATTATTTAATTGCAGCCCAGTTGCCGCAGTTTTCTTTATGGCACAAGCATGAATTCTGTGAGCGCTACTGGATTTCTTTTTTAACTTTCTGGAATTTTTTAACTGTGATGTAACAACCATAACCTGTGACCCAAACTGTGTACCGCACCACCCATACACCACCTTTTTCCCACTTCAGACATTCCAGTGCCACATGTGTATTTCCAGGCACAGAATCAGGGCTTGCAGGAGTTTGCAGGACAGTGGGGTTTCTGCATGCTGCTGGCAGCTCGGTCACTGCTGCCCCAGGAGAGGCCTCAGGAGGTGGCTGCTCACTCCAAACAGCACCAGAGCTTGGCACAGACCTGTGGATGGTCAGGCTGGTTTTTTTCTGACTTTAGTCCCTGCAAAGAGCAGGCAGTGCTGATCCACCTGCATGCCTGTCAATAGTTTGTGCCTGCAAGCCCTATCTCGAGGCAGCAGCATGCAGAAGTTCATAGGACTCAGCACTTAACAGCCTTTTTTTAATCAATTGCCTGTACTAATTTGGAGCAAAGATGTATCTGCTTCAGTTTGTGTTGAAAAGAAAGATCAAGCTTTTTGCATTTCTTTGCCCTCATCATCATGAGTCATTCCTTATATGCCTAGTTCAACTCTTAGGGCAAAAATCCCCCCTCAACACAACTTGCTGTGACGTTGACCTTAAGGAGAATTATGATAGTGGAGGAAGTAAGTTACCAAGCCTCTTGGTTAATTTCAAAGACCCAGAGCTCAAAGCTGGCAGAGAGACCAGAGATGCTGAAACAGCTCTGGGAGACGCCTTTTATCTTTCTTCTGTAGCAGAATGACTCTAGGCTTCCCTTTGTGGTGCTGGGACCATGATGGTAGACAGCTCTCACTGTCCGACACCGGGGGTCAGGCTGCCCCCCACAGTGGGGCCCACTCAGTACAGGCGAAAGAGAAGTGGGAAGGAGAAGGAAACCTACAACCAACCCAGGTTTCCAGCAAGCTTCAAGCATCTGCCAGCTTGAGGGATCGGATTTGCCACACTGTGAAGGAGATAAGAAACTCATTCCCTGTTGGGATAGTTTCAGATCAGCTGCATGCAAAGGGGTCACTAAAGACTTTCCCCATGCTTAATTTAGTGAATTACTTGTTTCACAGCAGCAGTTTGTTTAGCATAGGCAGAAACCTCTAAATGGTGGCCTTATATCATCAGTTTTTTAAGGGAAAATCTAAGGCCAAGTTTTAGCCTGGATCATACGGATGTGCTACAAATCCAGAATATTTCCACTGTTTTCCAGGGTGTAACCCTTCAGCCATGTTATTGGAAGGGAAATTAGAAGTGGATTTCTGATTTAAGTAAACAAGATGCAGGAATAAACTCAGCTTCATGCTCAGATAGGAATGCCAATTTTATTAGTACATGTAAAAGACCATCTTCCCTCCCTTAATTCAGATCACATTAATATTTCTTCTTTTATACTCTTAATCTGTAAATTATCCTTAGCTAGAGATCACTTTTAAGGGCTCATTGACAAGGGGCCCTTAGCAGATGTTAATTCTTTAACTGTGAGGGAGAGTGACTGTCCACTCTGCAATGCAATTATCTCATTCACTTTACATTCCCATCTGTGGTCAATTCAGATTAGCTCGCCTGAGTGTCCCCATTTAGACAAGCTCCAGGATAAAAGGATTTACTGAAGCAGAGTCTCCTTGACAAGATTTTAGCAAATTAGTGACTTATTTGAGTGTTCATCTATTCAGAATACTGCTAATAAATCACATGGAGACCTCAGCTATTGTTGCTGTTTGCTATTAATAGGAGAGGCATATTTGTAGCTTGACTATATTCCAGCAACAAATTCTAATGTGCTTTTAACTTTTGAAACATTACATAGTTCTGTTATACTGTGGGGTGTGAGCATTTTATTGATCTCATGTGCCTTCCGTAGCAGAACAGCCTGCAAATGCTTTGCCTTGCATTGTTACTGCATGCAGCCTGCCTCTGTTCCTTAAGGATTTGGACAACCATCTGACTGGTTCTGTCTGAAATTAGCTGTGTAGAGGAGAAGTAAATTGTGTCCTGATATTCACAAGTTTGGCCCTGATAGACAATGGGGAATTGTACTCAGTGACACAAATGGGTTAAAAATGCTCAGTGATTTTTATTTTGCAGCTCTAATTTGGGGTTGTAGCAACACTCTTTTGCAGCCTAGAAGCTTTTGCCTTTTTTTTTTTTCTTTTTTTTTTTTTTTTTGCCAGTCTTTTAGGCCTGAATAAGCTTGGGTTTTAACCTTATCATTGCTGTCCTTGACTGAAACCACATCTTCATTGCTCTGAGATCCCCCAAGGATCTTGTGGGTCACAGGAGATTCGAGTTCAGTCACTTGCAGGACTTGGGACTCCACAAAACGACTGGGCAAATATGC